AATAAAAATGTAAAATCAGTGTCAGTCGTACAAAAGAGCTATGGAACCGCAGCTATGGATATAGCCGCTGGTTGTTGCCTGTCAGTGACCAGTTCGTGCAATAAAACAGCGCAGCAAGTGTTCAATTCGTCCAATAACACACACTACTTTATTAAGACAGCGCCCATGTAATCACAAATACACATCACGCATTGTATTCTATCAAAACAATTATTATACTTTAATTTTCATAGCGAAATTTGAGACATCGAATCACACTGCCATATCGTCCAATGGTCGTTTTATGCGTAACTGCGCATGCGTGATAAATTCGAATTAGTACTATTTAATCTATCATTAAACGAATAATATATGCGATAAACCATCACAACATACATGAACACATCAAATAATATACATTCTTTATTATGAAACTACAATTTGATAAGAGAAGTGTGTATCAGAAAAAATAACGCAAAATGTTTACTATGCAAATTGTGCCACTCACCATGTATGATAATTGGACAGAGATTACCTACACTAGAAAAGCCTGATTTTGGAAGGTTTTTGGGCCAAAAAGTAATTTTAAAATGATTCAAGCCAAATAAAAAAAAAATGCCCTGGAGATATTCACACAAGCTATCATAATGCCAAGTTTCAGAAAAATAGACTGAAGGGTTTTTGAGATATCTTTGTCTACAGCACACGAACTACGGCCTACGGCTTACAAATTGTGATAGCATTAGTCCGTTGGACCGTAGGACTAAAAACGGAACCTCCACTACTAGAAAGCACTGTTTCTCCTACCTCATCTTTGTTTTCCATTCCAAACTTCGACAAATCAATGGTAAAGTAATGACTATTCGGCATCACTATTTCTATCTCACTTATCTAGAAATAGATATAAATGAATCAATTTCAGTATTCGACCAATGGGCTATTTGTCAATATACCGGTACATGTATACATGTCACAAATATACCATTATGTATGGCACAAATATACCATTATGTATGGCACAAACATACCATTATGTATGGCACAAACATACCATTATGTATGGCACAAATATAGCATTATGTATGGCACAAACATATCATTATGTATGTCACAAATATACCATTATGTATGGCACAAACATACCATTATGTATGGCACAAATATACCTTTATGTATGTCACAAACATGCCATTATGTGTGGCACAAATACACCATTATGTATGGCACAAATACACCATTATGTATGGCACAAACATACCATTATGTATGGCACAAACACACCATTATGTATGGCACAAACACACCATTATGTATGGCACAAATATACCATTATGTATGGCACAAACATACCATTATGTATGGCACAAACATACTATTATGTATGGCACAAATGTACCATTATGTATGGCACAAATGTACCATTATGTATGGCACAAACATACCATTATGTATGGCACAAACATACCATTATGTATGGCACAAATATACCAGTGTATGTGGCACAAATATACCATTATGTATGGCACAAATATACCATTATGTATGGCACAAACATACCATTATGTATGGCACAAACATACTATTATGTATGGCACAAATGTACCATTATGTATGGCACAAATGTACCATTATGTATGGCACAAATGTACCATTATGTATGGCACAAACATACCATTATGTATGGCACAAACATACCATTATGTATGGCACAAACATACCAGTGTGTGTGGCACAAATATACCATTATGTATGGCACAAATGTACCATTATGTATGGCACAAACATACCATTATGTATGGCACAAACATACCATTATGTATGGCACAAACATACCATTATGTATGGCACAAATATACCAGTGTATGTGGCACAAACACACCATTATGTATGGCACAAATGTACCATTACGTATGGCACAAATATACCATTACGTGTGGCACAAATAAACCATTATGTATGGCACAAATACACCATTATGTATGGCACAAATATACCATTATGTATGGCACAAATATACCAGTGTATGTGGCACAAATATACCATTATGTATGCCACAAATATACCATTATGTATGGCACAAACATACCATTATGTATGGCACAAACATACCATTATGTATGGCACAAACATACCATTATCTATGCCACAAATATACCATTATGTATGCCACAAATATACCAGTGTATGTGGCACAAACATATCTATATATATATATATATATGGCACAAATATACCTAGATACATTTTTATTGTTGATATGGTAATCATGTAACATTATGGTTGAAAGGTCAATTCTGAAAAAAATGAAGGATACACACCTGTGGCACTTTTTGAAATGACTGTTTCTGAGCAAGGTACATAGTGTTCTGAACTGATGGCGAGTACACCCCTGTGTCTGGTGGTCCAGCAAAGTTATCCAAAATTATAGCTTTTACAGTCTCACTAGAAATATTTAAAATAAACCACTGTTAATAACAATCTGCAAATTAAATAAAGATTGTAGTTCTACGTTCATTGCAAATAAAATATATTCCTTGTAAATAAATGAATCACATATCTTGAAGAGACTGTGATAAAGATTAATAGTGTTACCGGTAGTTTATCTGTTCACTAGTAAGATACTGTAAAATACTTTATTTTCGCTTAGAATTAGTTTTCGCTATTTTCACTGAAGGAATGATTCAGTGAAAATAAAATCCAGCTAATATACCTTTTTTCCTATATTTTACATTCAACTTGACAAAAATCAGTGAAAATAAATTTCATACGAAACACCCCGAAAGTCTTTTCAGTGAAAATTAATTCCAGCTAAAATAAAGTATTTTACAGTATATATTCATGTTTTTAACACGTTTCAATGAGTTTTTATAGTGAACAGTGAAACAAGATCTGATGAGGGTCCTATGGACTGAACTATTTTGAGGATATTGGCATATGCCGTAGTTGCATGACTAGTGAACAGACAAACTTAAGCAGCACTTTGTATTTTTACTGTTCAATTCACATAGCTATATACTATTGTTTATTACCATGGTTATAAATGGATACAGTAATGATTAGGGACGACGTCAAAAGATCGATGTTGGATAAAAAACTTAATTCCTTTAGTTTTTTTTCAAATCCCCCTACCCCCCACTGAAACTTAATTGATAAATATTGGTCATGGCGTCAGACTACATTCATCATTAAATAAAAATTGATAATCGGACAGTAGTATGGCATAGCAGTTGGCTGTCGGGTGAGTGTAAAAAGACTTTACAAATGCACCTCATTTGATGCACAGATTTACACTCGAACCAAACCATTTTTCTGTTTTTTTCCCCCCTTTTCCCCTTTTCGGTTATTTCTGTCCATGATTGGATAGAAAAAAACGAACTACAAATACTCCAAGATTTTTTTTACTTCATTAAAAAATAAAATCGTTTTTGTCAGATGGAAACTTTTTTAGGTCAAAACCCCCCACCCCCAAACTAAAGGAAATAAGTTTTTTATCTGACATCGATCTTTTGACGTCGTCCCTTACTGAGTGCATGTCAGTGAGTACCAGTATATCCACAAACAACTTAGTAATAAATGCAACAAAGGCTAAGATGTATTACCAAACTCGGGGCAAAGCTGATTTGAAAGCAAAATGATACAAACAATTACGGTAAACCAGCAGGCAAATGTCAACTTGCAGTATATTTAGACGAATGTATCTTACTGTTTATACAGTGAATCATGAGCCAAAAGCACACTAACTGCATTATTTCTTATAAACTGGATTATTTCCATAAAGGTATAAGCTGTCTTACAAGGACTCTAAATCTCATTAAACACTGGTCTCTTGGTGTTCAGTGCAGTTGAAAACAGGTTGATGGAGGGTTTGTGGCTACAGTTCAAACAAGAATCATACCAAATTGAATAATGAATGTATATCTCCCAAGTGTTCCCCTAATTTCATGAAATGAACTAATCTAATATAGGTCCACCAAACTTACACATATATCAATTGTCAAAGCAATTGGAGTAGCAGTTTTCAAAAAGAAGTCAAAAATAGCAATTTCACCAAAAATTACAAAACTATTCACTGAAATTAAAGAATTAGAGAATTCAAGATATCAAGAAGAAGTAATTTGAAAATCAAAGAAAGCTTAGAAAGAACTCCCATGTGCTGAGAGTATTGGAGACACATTAAATATAATTCGAAATTACTTAGCTGAAAACTAATTATGAAAATCAGAAAATTAATATGACCAGATTTGAGTGTAAAACTAATGAGGTCTGCGCAATGTAACAGAAAATCTATGTCTCCAAGTTTAATTGAAATTAGAACCAAAAAATTATGAATTATTATGCTTATTAGGGAATTAATATGAACAGATTTTTACCCCAAACTAATTAGGTTTGTACATTGTCCTAGAGCATCTTTGTACTAAGTTTCATTGAAATGGAATAATTAGTACCGTGAAAATTCCAAAATTTCGACCCCTCTAAAAATTCGTCCGTCTATTTATTTGCCGGGTTTCGGTGTTTTATTTACCTCCAAATTTTCGACTCCATTAAAAATTGCCGACTCATTCTTATTCGAAAATTGC